TCTCTGTCTGTCTGTCTGTCTGTCTTTGTCTCTGTCTCTGTCTCTGTCTCTGTCTCTGTCTCTGTCTCTGTCTCTGTCTCTCTCACTCATAAACGCACACCCGCATGTGTAAACAACATCTCCATTTTTGTCAAACACAATGGTCGAACGTCCTATCCACGGAGGCCTTATATCTTATCTTATCTTATCTTATCTTATCTTATCTGATCTTATCTTATCTTATCTTATCTTATCTTATCTTATCTTATCTTGATACCCCCGGGGCGGTGCTGCTGACTGAAGTGTCTTTAGGCCATTCCTAAAGGGGGGACATTAACATCTCGAGTTCTTATGTACTGTAGAATTGTAATTGTAAATAGGCTGATTCATCTATGCTGATTCCTAACTGTGCCTGAACTGCAACAGGGAACTGCTGCTTTTTCTTCCCATATCCTTACTATCGTCATTTTTCCTCTACTTCTTTTGTAATATGTTTGTCACTCACTTGTGACCCGCTATTTCCGGGGTGTCTAAATAGTCGAAGCAGACTTAGTGCTGTTGAAACTAGAGAGCTGAGCAGAGTAAGTCTGATTCCAATGTAAATACTTCTCTGTTGACATCCACCCCTTGGCACTCATATCTTATGCAGTTGTGAGCGCTGTAAAACCTCTACTAAAACAAAACAAAAAAACAATCGTATCTTGTTTTTCAGTTATTTGAGAAGCAGTGTACAGAGAGAAGCATGAACCAGCAACCACGTGAGTACACGATCACGATCACGTTCATTCTCAATTTTTCGCTTTTATTTTTTACACTGTCCTGGGAAAAGAGAAGCAGTTTTCTATTTCGTCCTCTTGAGTTATCATAATTGGCTGTCCCATTTTGTAAACCACCGATTTTTAAACTATATTTCAGTATAATTACTTTTCAGGAGAGAAACAAATCTGGTGTGTTGTTTTTGCATATTCTACCTTCGTTGTGTATCTTTTCTTGCTTCTTTCAGAACATAGAATTTGAATCTTGACAAAAATATTTCTTGAGCACATGCAAGCGGTACCACCGATTAAGAAATTGCAATTGATATGATATTCAAGATTTTGGACGTAGTACATGTGAAAAGCTGGCGAATAAAACAAGCGTCTCTCACTCATTCCTTCTACTCACGTTTCTGTTATCAGCTACCTGCGTCTCCATAGACCAACTGTGTGGGGACAAAAAGAAATTAAAGGCACCTCACTTCATCAACCCGTGCGGATGTGATTCGTACTTGGTTCTAGAATATTGTGAGGCCTTAAACAGGAACACCACGACTCTGAAGAAAATAAGCTGTGGCAAAGGCACAACTTTCAGACAAAAGAGTGGCAACTGTGAAGACCCGAAAAAAAGAGAAGAAGAAATTTGTAGACGTCAACCGTGGGAGAGATGTAAAGGTAAGCCACAGTACAGTACGGTACAGGTTCTTTTTTCCAATGTATTATTTCTTTAGTGAGAGTTTTACGGCACTTGCAACACAATAAGGTCATAATAAGTGCCGAAAATTAGAGGTGTTACAATAATAATAAATAATAATAGATAGCATTTGTATAGCACATATCCCCGCTCAACAGAAGGCTCTATGCGCTTTACACTATATTATTACCCCAACAGACCACAGAACGCTCCGAAACATTCTCAGCTTCCCGTGAAGCATACAGTGCAAGCAGCTGATTAAGCGCCCAAACCCTAACAAACTGACAAGATCTTTCGCTGTCTATAGCCGGGTACCCATTCCCACCTGGGTGAAGTGAGGAAAATTTGTGTAAAGTGCCTTCCCCAAGGACACAACATCAGGCCCCAGACGGGATTTGAACCCACGACCTTACGATTGCGAGTCCGAGAACCTAACCACTAGGCCAACGACGCCACAAGCGAATAACAAACACTGATAAATAAGGAGGGGAGATAGAGATTATATATTTTTATAGGAAAGAAAGAGCAAACCACACCAGAGCACCCGCTAACCACCCACAGTGAGGGTTTTACAAGACTTGCAACACAAGTGATATAAGTGCCCAAGATTTAAAAAGTGTAAAAAGAGAGAAACAAACACATAAAGAAGAGGGAGCGATAAGGACGATTGATGTTTGAAAGGAATGAAGGAGCAAACCACACCAGAGCACCTGCCAACACCACTATAGAGGTTTAGGTTTTTTAAAAACCCAACAACCCAACAACCAAAAACCAACCAAACATACAATATGTCTTTTTGACGGATTCGCATGAAGAAGTTTGGTTAACAATGACATACACGCATACATGAATGCAAAAAACCCTCTTATATTATGTAATAATCTATAAACATAACATGACACACACTATTGCACTAATACAGACAGTGATCACCCCAAAGTCTGTCTGTCTGTCTGTCTGCCTGCCTGCCTATTCCGCTTGTCTAGTCCACTTTTTGTCACTTCTCTTTCGTGCTTTATCTATCCATCCATGCATTCATCGATCCATCAATCTATCAGTCTATTGAACTATCTACCTACCTACCTATCTACCTACCAATCCACCAACCCACCCACCCATCCATCCATCCACCCATCCATCCATGTATCCATCCACCCACCCATCCATCCATGTATCCATTCATCCATCCA